TAGATGTTGGCAGGAAATGTGGAGTAGCTGCTAATGGGTTCAGGATTTCTTTGCAAGGGAGATAAAAGTGTTCTATTGTAGCAGTGGCTACACAGCTCTATGATGCTCAGACCATTGAATTATACAATCACTTATGTATGTACTGTCCAACATAGGAAGTACAATTCAGTGGAATTTAAATAAAAAATCTACTCCACAGTATCAAGTGATTGGAGAATGACCAACAGAGTCTCCCGTAACTTAATTGGTCAGGTACCACGCTAATGAGATAAAATGTAGTTTATGATTGGGGTGGGGGTGGGGCTCGGCAGGGCTATAACCTTTTGCTGCAGATGAATCAGAACTTTAAAGAGGAGGAGAACAGTCGAAATTGGAGAGGAGAAAAAACAAATTAGCAGAAGACATAGAAGACAGACATGAGACTGTGCCTGCAGTTGAAGGAAAACTGGTATTCAAGTTGGCAGGAAATGTCTTGGGATGTAACATGGTCCTCTTCATTTCCTTCAAAGATCCCTCTTCTCTTGGTTACCATAGAAGATTCTAGTTCATAGGACTAATAGCATGAGTCACTAAAGACTGCAGATTCGAAACTGAGAGGTTATCCTTTTACGGGTTAATTTAATAATTGTAGTTTCATGTTTAGGTTAGATAGTGAACTTAGGAATGTAACAGGGAAGGCACCACTGAGGACCCCTAACCATCATATAAAATTTGCTCTAAGGTCAAGGTCAGTGTGGAAGCTAAGACTCTGGCTGACATTTCAGTGTAGAAAGAATAAGTAGAACAAAAATATGCTATAAAAACGTCACCGAGAACACCACCATCACATCATACTGGATATATGTGTATTTATTAGTATTGTGTAATGCCAGGAATTACCACATATTTATATGTAATTATGCTTTCTGTGGCAAGATGATTCTCTCTAATCTGAAATACTGTCACTATTCTCATATTAAAATTGTATTTAATTTTTACATATCAAGACAAATTTAAATCAACTGGCTCTTATCAAATGCATGTCTCTGTGTTTCATATATTCAGGATAAAATCATATAATAGAAAGTATCTTCACAGTAGTTTCCGCTGTGGCTTTGCGTAATGCTGATCTTTACCTACAAGAATGTTTTCTCAGGAGGTAAACACTAATTGCATGTATATCCACACTGCAGTGAAACAGAACAATGTATTTATTGTCTGTTCATTCATAAATCTACCGAACATTTATTGAGCCCATGCTTTGTGGGAGGTAGCATTATGGAAATGAATAAGTTGTTGCTGCCCCAGGGAATATTCAACTTGGGAGTTTATAGTAATAAACACTTTTTTAAACAATTGACCCTAAAATTTTAAAAGTTTGATTTTGGGGCAAGCACAGTGAAATTCCTTAAAAGCCAAACGCATCTTTATTGGTCACTGACCTTGATAGGCCGTTAGATGTCTTCCGGTGCCACACTAGCGAGCGGCCCCTGACTTGCTCGTGTACACCACCGGGCACACAGCTTTTTCTCACCATCAGCTCTTTTGCCCACTATTCTTCCTTCTATACACACGGCGCTAAATTAATTCAAGTTAAAAAACACTGTTTTCCTCAGTTGGTACTGCCTTCTTGTGCTTTTCGGCCTAAGCCAAAAGGCAACAAGAATGTAAATCTTGTTCCCCTTTGATGAAACAGAAAAGCTCCCATTCACAGGTGCAGCTGGGCTCTGCAATGGCGCTGCATCCCGAAGGCCTGGATGGCCGGAAGCGAGACTCAGCCACGCATGCAGCAGGCACGTGACTTTCGCCGCACTGCCGTCACGGCAAATGGCAGGCCGAAAGTCAAGTCCTGCATAGTCCTCATTTGTTTCCACTGTGTGCAGAAAGTCAGCACTTGCATGTCAGAAAATTCCTACAGTACATAAAGTGAGAATTTCCAAGATATGAAAGCTGATATGGTGTTAAGTCATTTCTTTGCCATTGCTGGCTCCCAGAACCCCTCCCCAGAAGTGACAGCTGTCAGTTCGTTGTCTTTCCAGAGATACTCTCCCAGGACACCACCACTAGCCTGTTTTCTTTCCTTCCAAAGCCAGGCACTGTATTGCAGACCATTAAACATTAATAGTATACCGTCATACAAGAAAAATGAAATGCAGGTAAAACCGTATATGTAGTTTGTTTCCACTGTTGAAAATAATCCATAAGAGGGGATGTGCCAAGCAGTAATAACAAGCCAGGATGGAGTGGTTGGGGCAGGGAATCACTTTCTTTAGCAACCAACTGCCTGTTATGTGAACTTGTAAAAATAAGAGCATATGATCTTTTCATGGTAAAGTTTTGAGAGATCTTCTGGTGTGTTGGTACATACTTGGTGTGAGGGGTTGGTAGGTCTTCAGGCTTTGTGTACAACCAGTTTTCCTTCTGAGGTCCAAGTGAGTTGTCACTTGTCCTTAGTGATACCAAGTTGAACTAGGAATAAACTCTCAGAGGAGCGTAGTGTTTATTCAGGGCTTAGATCTTTCATGGGAACCAAAATTAGAAAGGAAAGCAAAGATCATGTTAAATGATGCACTGTTGTATTTCTAGTCACTGATTCCTCCAGTGAGTGAGTGTTATTTTCTGAATACCCAGTTTAACTCAAGAACCATATTAAAGTTACCATTTGTAATTGTTAACTAGTTGTAATACTTTTGTATTCTAAGTAGTTGACGCTCCTGGCCTCCAAATTGAAGAATACCACAAAATACATACAAGAGCTTGTACTGCACTTGGCAAGTAGCATTTCTGAACAGCAACTTGATACCAGTATTCCTAGTGAATTTTAAATCTGCTGTTCATTACCCTGAGTACATCTTCTGATAGAAAGTGGTGGTAGTATAGGAGATGCTTATCATGATAAATTTTACTTCTCACTTTACTTACACATACAAGAAACGAAGGGAGTTGCAATGTACAAAATAGAGGAATAGCTAGATTTATTTGGGCAAATAACTGGAGCTAATGTGATGGGCTAGTAGTCATCATTAAATAAAGTTTTCACAGACAAACTGATAACCTGAGGAATTATTTACAGATTTAAATGTAAAAGAATAATATTAATCTTCATGCCTTAATTTGTCAAAAGTACATGTGTTTATATGTATGTAAGGGCATTTTTTTTCCCTTTTCAGTGTTCTCTATCATAACAAAATATTTATCACAAGAATACTTCATTCTTAATTAAGTTGCTAAAGAAAATAATTAAGGCTAGGAGTTTTTTTTTTTTTTCTGTTCTTCTTCAACTGTCAATTGAAAGATTTTCAGAGTTTTTTTTAAATGATTTTCTCACCTCCCAGCATGTGTGAGAATTGTAATACTGTTAAAAGTATTGTGTTTTTTCTAATACTGTCAGTAGATTTTTAAAATTGTATTTTTACATCACATCTGCTTTATTCATTCACAAACTGGAAGAGGAACATGAGTGTTTAGTACTTCTTTCCTTGGGTTCAGTGGAATTTTACCCCTTAACTGATTAGAGAATATCCTCTTACCATCAGGCTTTGTAGGTCTCACTATTGCTGCCTTAGGTCACTGGTTTTATTCTTTCCTTGTAAGAGAGGCATTTCCTAGTACTTTTACAAGTTATTTTTCAGTTTTATTTCATTTTGCTTTGAGTTCCCATGCAGTATTTACTTTCTCTTTTAGGGCAAAATAGCTCATCGTTATTTTCAAATTATATTAGATTTCCAGCGAAATCATTTAAATGTCATAGGGAATCTAATCATCTTTGGTAAGGTGTTATTCTGTGTATATGTGTTTACTGTAAATGCTCCTTAGCGAAAGTGTTCGTAATGTGCTCACTGCGGATTAATTATAAGTCAGGGACAAGGGGCATTTGTGTACGTATGCTCTAAGAATGTGAATCAATAAAATATATGAATACTCAACCTGATGGTAATGCGAACTATAGGTGGGGTGGGGTGCATGCTCACGCGCACGTGCGTGTGTGTGTGTGTGTGTGTGTGTGTGTGTTCATTCACTGAGCCTGAAGTTCGAAGTCAGGCAGACGCGGCAGAGTTGGTTTGAAATAGCCTCCCTGTGAAGGGAGTGTGCTTGAGCAGGAAGCAGACGTCTCAGCGTTAGTTTCTGTTCAGTACAATCTAAGGCTATGGAAACGACTGTAAAAATAATTTGTCTGAAAGAAGTCTAGATGCAGAGACCTAAGAGAAAATATTTGAGAATATGGTTCATCGTGGAATGCAACAGAGCCTCTTCCCCAAGCACCACATGGTGCGGATCAAAGCATCCCATGACTTGGATCTGTGTGGCCAAATCATTACCGTATTGATTGGAACCCCGTCGACACGTTAACCCATTCCTGCTCACACAAAGTTTTCTCTCATTTTTTCTTGAGTAATTTTAGGAATGTAACGTTCCTGCCGCTGTTAGCTTTTTTTTTTTTTTTTTAGTTAACCATTTACTTGGATATACTTGTCTTGCTAAATTGTTTTTGTTACTATTAGTCTAAATTACTGTTTAATTGTACTATACTTTTCTGGATAAAATGAACTTGTGAAAAAGATACAGTTATGTGAAAGCAGTTTTAGGGGATGAGAGGAAGAAAAAATGTATCATATTGGTAGAAAACATAGCCAGAGAACCCCAAAATCAAATAGAGATTGTATAATCTTTATCTTGTAGATTAAATAAGTTGTAGCTTCTGAAGGAGCTCTTTGCTGCTGAGTACCGAGCTTCGCCTGGAACAAAAACCTGTCAAACACTTCTCATACATAGAGGTACATTTCTAACATTTAGGTAATTATACCTCAGTGCGTTGAGAACATAATGTTCTAGCTCTTACAGTTTAGCTCTTGCTTTCAAAAAACAATGCAGAATTAATTAGTAAATTCCACGGGAAATGACAAGGAGAGATTTGTCCTGTCTGCAAGTGGGCCTGAAGCTGCTCCTGCGTTTCTGCCCCGGTTGGTGGAATGGTTCTTGGCAGCATATTGATTGCATGTCTTCTCTGTTTTTCTTTTCAGTATGTCCCACGAGGAGCACCCCCATAGCCATCCTCTCTACGGACATGGTGTATGCAAGTGGCCAGGCTGTGAAGCAGTGTGTGAAGATTTCCCATCATTTCTAAAGTAAGAAGGGTTTTATTTGTCATCTCCTTTACATAGCCATCACCTTCTGCGGCTCATGGTTGTGCTCCCTGATGCCTTTCTGGTGCAGTGTTTCACACCAGCCTTTAAGCGTGGCCTCTGAGTCACAAGCCCTGAACACTGTCATGCGAATTGTTCCAAATTTTGTCAAGGGCTGTTCTTTCAAGGAAAAGACACCTACACCTGAAGGCAGTAAGAACTTTAGTAAAAACCTGTGTACCTGTGTACCCACTTTCCAGAGTGACAGTGATTAAACAATTTGAAATAATTTAGTTTTTGCTTTTATTCATGTCCATGGATATTAAGTAAATGATGTACACGCTCCCTCTAACCTTAAAATCAGCATCAGTTATTGGTTAGCTGCTGCTCGGCGCTGGAGCCCCTTTGTTGTAAAACCCAGAAAGGGACACTGAGGAAAAGCTATTAGTTACATTTTTATCTTTCTCTGTTGGTGTTGACTTGTGTTTAGATCCTTGTTCTTACAAGGAGAATGCAGGAGGCTTGATTTCTACAGTTAAAGTCTGACAAAATCTTGCGTTATCCCCTTTGAGCCTATCACAATGATAAAAGTCTCTAAGTAGTAGATGATATGCTAATCTTCTCATAACTGAAGTGAACACTAAAATCACATCTTAATGTTTCCCTTACCTGTGTCAGCCTGTAGTTGAAAAACTTTAAACAGAACTGCTCTGCATTTCCGATACCATGTACCTATATTTAAAATATTGAATCATTAGCTATGGATTAAGTGTACTATATGTAATACTTCTTATGTAGTCAAACATATGCATGTGTATAACTTCTACATCTCTGGGTATGTAATAATCTACAAAGTTGTTGCTGGGGATCCTTTCTCTGAAGCTTGCGTTCTCATTTTAGCCCCAGGGAAACTGGTGGCTGATTTACAAGCAGTTTGCTTTGTGTGTGCTCTTTATATAGTTAGAATAATCTCAATATCTGTCTTGATGGATCTGGATACAAATACTGTAATAAAGTTACCCTTAGAGATATATCGAATGTTACCTGCAAGCAGTTTTGGTGAATATAGGTTTTTGATTGATGCCCAGAAGCTTATGAATCTATTTCAGTTTCCTGTTTTGAATATTACATTCCAGGAGCATCCTACTTCCTCAAAAATTTTAAAACTAAATTTTTTTTAAAGAAATGTCCAAAATTGGTTTCAGATACAGTATCAACAAACGAGAGCTGACATGCTTTTTTAAAAAAAAATCATCAGTGATCTTTAACATTCAGATTAACATTATTGTTTTCTGTATTAATCACTCATTATGGAATCTTTGTCTAAATTGTATTTATATAGTGAGAGAAAAAGAACTGGGCAGAAACCACTTTTAATTTTTGAGTTCTTCTGTACCAGTGTTAGGTAAACAGCTTACTGATTTATCTATCGAATATATTTATTTTTATAAAACCTCCATAACTGTAAATTGCTGTCATTGCTCTGTAGGACATGCATCAACTGAGGAGTGAGAAAAGGGAAAGCCAAGTTTCCAAGTTTGATCTATTTAAAATTTTCAGTTATGGTCAAACTATTTCTACTGTAATAATTCTCAAGGCAAGAAATAGGTAGGTAGGTAGGCAGATAGACAGACTGACAGATATTTCCAGATCTAGAGAGGGATGGCTACATATGTACATACATAGAGATGGAGATATTTCCAGATCTAGAGAGGGAGGGAAAAGATAATTTCAAATTACTGTGAGTAGTAAAAGAAAATAGTCTAAAGATCATTGGAATCAGAGCCTGGGCTTTATTCCTCTGAAAATGCCTATTGGCTGGTGTGGTAACCCATACCTGTAATCCAAGATGCTCCAAGAGGCCCAGGAGGGGGATTGTAAGTTTGAGGCCATCTTGGGCAACCTAGTGAGACCATGTTTCAAAATAAAATTTTAAAAGGGCTGGGGATATAGTTCAGTTATAGAACATGTGCTGAGCATGCTCCAGGCCCCGAGTTCATTCCCCAACCCCCATAAACAACCCCAAGCTGGCCTGTTCTGCTCTTAGGATATTACACGTCTGGCTCCTATATTGGAAACCACCTGTCAGTTATTTACTGTGGTTTTGCACATGGCGTGACACGTTCTCAGTTCCTGTTTGCTCAGTGGAATTGGAATGCCCACTGTCAACTGGCAGAACGAAAGCTTGGTTATTTCCTAGCACTTATTTCTTCTGAAGATGGTATTCAGAAGTTTGTTTGCAAGTTGTGTAAATATATCATGAATTGGCTTAAGCAAACAAAAAAAAAGGTAAGGGATGTTTATTAGCTCCTGGAAACAAGGAAGTCCAGTGGTAAAGGTAGCTTCAGACATAGCTGGATCTAGATGCGTAAAATTATTGGAGAAGTGATTGTCCCTGCTGTCTTGTGTTCTCTTCTTTCTGACCCTTTCCAAGTGGAACTGAAGAGGACAAATGTACATGCCCCAGTTCCACAGTACATCTCTTTTCCCGTTTCCAGAAAGAGCCATTGGCAGAGTGCTACTGGTTAAGACTGAGTCATGTGTTCTGGTTTTGAGCTGGTCATGGTGACGTTTTCAGGCTTGCATCACGTGCTAACCTCACAGCAGAGTGAACTGCTCAGCCCACACAAACCTGCTCAGGTCCTCGGTGAGAGACTTCATCCCAGAAAGTAAAAATGAGTATTCTGAGCAAAAAAAGGGAGAGCAGATGTTAGGTAATTTGGGGGAAAACCCTGTAGCACTCAGTATTTTCTTGGTGCTTTCCTGAGTTACACATTGATTGGTAGTCTATAACAAATTCAGGCTCTGACTTCTCCTCTGTAGCATGATTTTTAAAGCTTAGAAATTCAGAGATGTCTTCACATATCAGGATGTCATCAAATGCACTGCAAAGTAAGTTAGTCATTTTGTAGATTCACATCTCCCACATGTCTGCTTGGTCCTAAAGGGGCATCAGTTGGCTTTCTGCGTTGATTTGAATTGAAAGAAGCTACTGAATTTTTTTGGTTCTAATACAGTATAAACCACATGGCTTCTTCAAATAGTATCACTGTGGGGTCATTGTTTTCAGAGTGATCATTTAATTATTTCTTCTCAAATCACTGGGTTGGTAGTTTCCAAAAGCAGCTTCTTGCTGGGTCTGCTCTTTAGTTATACCTTGTGTTTAAACGTCATCATTTTTTCATTCATTCATTCATTCATTCCAGTGCTAGGGACTGAACCCAAGGCTTTCCCACTGAGCTACATCCTCAGCCCTTTTTTTTTACTAATTATTATCAGAGAGAGACTCCCTAACTTCCTAGATTGCCCAGACTGGGCTTGAGCTTGTGATCCTCCTGCCTCAGTCTCCCAGAGTGTTGGGATTATAGATATGTGCTTCATCATCCAGCTTAGAAGTGATTAATTGTTGCATATCAGGAATAGATCATTGTGCTTGGATTCTTACTTAATAGAATGAAATGTTGCTTTGAGATTTTGCTTCATAGATATTTTTCACCTATTTTCTATCCCCTGATTTTACTTTATTCTAGTAGTAGTTTATAATTGACATTGAATAATGAAATAGGTACAGTTCTAATATCTCACATATATTAACTTATTTAATTCTCACAGTCATCTTACTGTGCTGATATTGTAATTTCATTGCCAACAAACAGTTAAGAAAACTAAGGCACAGATAGGTTAAGTGACTTACTCAAAATTGCACAGCTAGTAAAAGGTAGAGTCAAGATCCAAAAAAAAAAAAAAAGGATCCAAACTCTGCTTTCAGGGGGCTGGGGATTTAGCTCATCGGCAAAGCACCTGCCTGGCAAGCGCAAGGTCGTGAGTTTGGTTCCCGGTACCAGAGAAAAACCAAAAAAAAACAAAAACAAAAACAAAAAAACAAAACAAAAAAAAACAAACTCTGCTTTCAGGGTCTCGTTTGAGAGAACCTACTCTTAATTGCTGTACTATGCTGCCCACTTTGCACTAATGGTTTCCTTTCTACTTAAGATAGTGGGTGTAAAAAAAAGTTTTTGAGAAAGGCAGATTGAGGAGTGAAGCCATTTACTACTGTTAAAGTGTTCTTTGAGCTAGTCATGTAGCTTCTCTGAGCCTCAGTGTCAACACCTATAACCTGGGACATGAATAGGTTGTTAGAATTAAAAGGTGCAGCATGTAACCCACTGAGCCTATGCAAGACACTATCAAAGTATTAACACTTCTTATCTATCTAAATTTGTTTGTTTCTTTGCATGGTACTGCAGCATGAAGCCAGGACCCCGTGCATGCTAGACAGTGCTGTACCACTGAGCTGCACTCCCAACCCTAAGTGTATTTTAAAGGGAACAGTAATTTTAAATATCCAAAAATTTTTGACATATTTAGTGAAGTGTTTGTGGTTCTACATAGCGTTGATGTGTTGGAAGAGACTGTTTTCCAAAATAATTTTTTTCACCATAAGTTGCCTACATCGTGTCCCACACGGGGAAAACCCTCAGAGCAGAGAAAGGCAAAATTTTTCCCTTATAAGCAAACAGCACATATTTCAGGCTTTGCAGGACATACAGTGTCAGTCACAGCCACTCATCTTTGCTGCCATAGCGCCAGAGCAGTTATAGACCCTCCACAATGCAGGAGCATGGCTGTGTCCCTTGGACTACAGTCTGCTGGCCTCTGGCCTAGGGTCACATTTTTGGTGTCATGCCCTATTTTTAGCTGAGAAATGTTTCTTGCAGTCTCTGGACATTGTTGTGTTGGATTAGGTTAGTTTGGATCCATGGAGCCCTCGAGTTTATTCATATTTAGAGGGACTACACATTCAGGTCATACCGTGTCATTTCATTCACCAGCCACAGGCGTTTTCTTGCCTCTTTGGTTGCAGGTTCTTCACTTGGGTTTTTGGATTCCATAGCAGAAGGGAAAGTAACTTAGCCTGGTAACTATTTTCTGGTCTTTTTTGGCTCCAGTACCCTAAAGATGTAACTGTCACAGAGGCCAAGATTAGTTATTCAGGATAAAAC